CCCCGCCCTCCCCGAGCCGTCTGAAGGTAACAACAAGACACCGCGAGCACCGTGGGGACCCGAGGGACCCCCATGGGGGCGAGGGCGTCGTCTGCTCTCCGTGATTATACGGCCCGCAGCTCGCCGTCAGTGTCAGGGGAGGAAGGGCCGCGGGCGGGGATCAGCTCGCTCAAGCACCGCGGCGGCGATCCGCGCGCCCAACCGCATCATTGCATTTTGGCGTCGTCGTCGTTTCCTTGACTTTTTCTTTTTCGTCTTTTTCGCGAACCGCCGTGGCTTGGAGGAGACGGAGAAAGACGTGGAGGGGGCGCGGGAGCACAATCTATCGCGCCGCTCACAGAAAGGAATCAGATTAGTTGAAAGACGCGGCGCGGCGGCTGGCTCCGTTCGGCCGCTACGCCCCATTTGGGGCTCGCGGCCGCGTGCGGCTGGAGGGGGCGGCGGTGCGGCGGCGGTGCGGCGGCGGTGCGGCGGCGGCGTCTGGAGCTGGAAGTAAACGCTGATCGTGTGAAAAATACCCGCGGGCCGCGGTTTATTCGGATTCGGTGGGGCCAGACGGGAAGGCCGCCGCCCGGGCCACGCGACGGCCCGCGGCTCCCACAGCGGCGAGGGCTCGGCACGCCAAGCCCGGAAGCCGACCCCGCCGCCGAGCCCGCGCACCGCGGACCCGTGGCGAGCCATAGCCCTTTCAGCGCGGACATTCCTGCACCCGGGAGCGGGGTCGGTGCGGCCCGGAGAGAGCGGCGCCCTCCTCCCCGTGAACGCCCTGCCCGGCCCTGCTGCTGCTGCTGCTGCAGCCTCAACCGCCATGACGGCCGCGGGAGTCACGCCGCGAGCTGGACGAGGAGGATTACCCCGCATTCGGTTCCCGATGAACACGACTCGCGATTTAGTCGCCTGCAGAGACGGTGTCAGTGGGGCGCGCAGCAGCGCGTTGGCCACGCCTCGCTCCTCCTCCCCGCCGTGGCAGGTCGGGGCCCTGGACAAGGTGCTCAACACACTCGCGAGACAAGAGAATGGTACCCGCTGCAGTCTGACTCTGGCGGGGCAGGGCAGGGCAAGAGGGCAGCAATGTGCTCTGACCTTTCTGCCCCGGGCCGACGGGGCCGACGGGGCCTCTGCTCTGCAGCCACCTCCTCGTGGAGTAACCCGGAGTGACTGGCAGTGCAGCAGTCACGCAAAGATCCACGCCGAAGGGGGAGAGTCCGACAGAGGGGGATATCGCCGTGTCGGCGACTCATGTGCCCTTTCCGTTTGCCCTACACAGGAAGCGGGTGCGCTCGCTCAAGGAGAAGGCCCAGAAGGACGCCGACAAGCTCGCCAAGACGTACGCCAAGCTGCAGCGGCGCGCGGACAAGGAGCGCGAGCGCGAGCAGCGGCGGCTGCTGGAGGAGCGGCGGCGCATGCAGGAGGACGCCGTGCAGGCCAGCGAGGAGGCCGCGGCGGCGCACAACGTCCTGGCGGCGCTGCGGCTGCGCGCGCTGCGGCCCGGCTCCGTGTCCAGCGGCGGGGGCCGCGGCGGCGCGGACTCGCAGCGCTTCTCGCAGATCGTGGCGCCGCCGGCCAACCCTTCGGCTGCGGGCACGCTGCTCAAGCGCGCGGGGGCGGGCGGCGTGCAGAAGCGCGTGCAGCAGCGTCAGCGCACCACCGCGAGCCAGGCCGGCGCCGGCGGCGACTTCAAGGTGGGTCAGGTCGTCGACGAGGGCGGCAACCGCTCTACCAGGTCGCTGACGGGGCTCCGCTCCAGCTCCAACATCCTCCTCGTCGGCTCGTACGAGAGCCCCGCCGCAGGTGAGACCACTGGTTCTGGTTCCCTTGTCGAGCAGCCTTTGCCTAACATGTTCGTTAATGTTTGCGTCCTTCTAGTGGGCAAGCGAGGCAAGATCGCGGACGTGTTCGACACGGCTGGCGAGCTCGGCGCCGCCCCGCATGCTCTCCTCAGCAGGTCTACGTCGCAGCCCGACTTCCTCCACAACTCGGACAGCGGCCTCGGCGACGACGTCCCCCTTGTGGAGCCGCCCAGCATTTTCGATCGTCCGGGCTTCGGCAGCGTCGCCTTCCGGTAAGTTCACGAGCAGCTAGCTAGCGGTTCCAGCCCAGGGCAGTATGAGCGTCCCTGACCTCAGCGAGGCTCACTGCCACTCTACTTTCGCAGGGCGTCCGCCATCACCAACACGCTGAGCACGCTGCCGTCACTCCAGGACAAGGACGACGTCGATGACCACGACCGCGGCTTTGGTGGCGCCTCCAGCGAGCGGTCCGACGGCCGGTCGGACGGCCGGTCCGGGTCGGAGGGCCGCGCCGAGGACTCGAGCATCGGCAGCGCGGGCAGCCTGGCGCAGCGCAACCAGCACGCCTCGCAGCTGCAGCTGCACCAGCTGCCCTGGGACCAGTCGGACCTACCGAGCGGTGAGTCCGAGACTTACTCGAGACAATGCGAAAGCCCGCGGACGCGTCTTAGAGTTTAGCCCGGACATGTATCGAACTTTGTGATTCCAGATGACGACGACGACGTCGATCCCCAGTGGTCGACGGTGCAGCTGTTCCTCATCGCATCCGGCTTGAGAGAGTACGCGAGTCGGTTTATCTCTGAGCAAATCGATCTCGACGCACTGGTGCTCCTCTCCGACGAGGACCTCAAGACGTTGGGACTTCCCCTGGGGCCTCGCAAGAAGTTGCTCAGAGCCATCGACCAGCGTCGGGCAGCCTTAGAGAACCCAGGGCAGGTGCTGGACAGCCGTCTCTGAGACAAATCACATTGCTCACGCGTCAACTGTGAATGCAAACGGCATAATCCGTATTGCATAGAAACCAAAGTAGGAAACTATCCTTTTGTGAATAGTTTATTTTATAAATACCTATAAGCAAGCAAGAGAACTAAATGACTCAGAAAGACTATGTGGCACAATGTTGAATCAATTACAAATTTCTCACCTCATTAGCTTGAAAAACCTTGTAAATTGCCAATATGTAAGACACATATCTGACTCAATGCTTGAGTGTGCATATAAAACAAAGAAAGAAAGTGTGTATTTTGTAAATATCAAGTAGTTTTAGATTACATCCAATCTGTTCGGAATTGTCGATACTAAGCAAAAAAGGAGTTTTGTTGTGTATCTCTAGCTTCAAATAACTTGGCTGTGTAGTGCAAATGTCCAAATTTCTTTCTAACTGTAAAAGACGAAAGTTGTGTGAACTGAGGTCTACAGCCTCAGATTGAGAGCATGTAAACTTAAAGAATGGATGCGGATTTCTTAGGAAGCAGACACAGTCAACCGAAAACTTTTTGGAGGTCACAAAAATTATTGTAATTCAGCTTGTAAACAAGTTGTGATCCAGTCAATGTCAATAATTGAATTATAAAAATAAAATTTAATTTTGTTGTGACATAACGGTACATGACAGCCATGAAGTATGAACATATAAAAACTCACACAGGATACACAAGCTCACCTACAGATAATTTATGGAACAATTGACCAAAGTTTACAATGGGTGGACAGAGAACTGTATCAGGTAGACAAAACTTCACAGTGGTCCACCAAGAGTCAGCAACAGGAGTAACAAATAGGACGACAGGATTTCCATTGGAACCAGTCTTAGAGGTTACATACACAGTCTCTGTAAAAAAATAAAATTGGAAGCTGATGATAGCAAAAGGACCTGAAAATAGACAGATTTAACTCTAGAAAAAAGTATCAGGGTTGTTACAGACCGTGAAAGTCAGGGAAAGTCAGGGAAAGTCAGGAATTAGAAAATGGGTCAGGAAAAGTCAGGGAAAGTCAGGAAAATTGAGAGAGCAGTCAGTAAAATTTATCCATTTGACTGCCTTCGTGCAAATGAATGAGGGAAAATGCGTAAAATTGACGCTCGAGCTGTGCACTGCCATGGCAGTGGCACTTGCCGGGCCCTGCCGGCGCAGCCAGTCGCCGCTTTTGTGCATACTCTTGTTTTTAGTGAAATTTTCCCTCCCGTTGTTCGGAATACTGCCTACTTTCTTGCCTAAAAAGTCAGTAAAAATCGGGATTTTGGTCAGGGATAAGTCAGGGAAAAGTCAGTAAAATTGAAAATCCAGAACCTGTAACAACCCTGAGTATGTACTTACTGCAAATTGCATTTGACCCACAGAGCCAGTGGACTGTTGCATAGATAGGTAGGGCATGAAAAATGAAACAAGCCTGAGTCAAAATGCCTGAGAGACTCAAGAGAACAAGCCGCATCTACAAGAAACATAGAAAACAAATCTTGTCATCACAATTTTTTTTTAAAGGACAAGGACCACCATACACTTACTGTTGTGAAGACCACATAATACATAAGGGTTGTTGGCAACAAAAACAATAGTATAGTGAATGTAATAGTTCCAACAAACAACTGATCGGGTGAATATTCACATGAATCTACCCTTTCACGCAGAGGATTGTGTTTTGTTCCCAGGAAGAGTCTCCATAAAGCCCTTAAAGCTGACAACTGAAGGTAATACACTCTGTTAAAGGGGAAAAAAGACAAGTACTTAGAATAAAAGTAAAAAACATATTTCTGGTGTAGAAAAGCGTAAAGTATATACCTTGCAGCATAAACATAAATGCAGTATATATGAAAGCTAACAAGAGCTAAGAGGTCTGAAAGGATCGCAGCTTGAAATGTCACCCCGAGTCTTCCCAGCACCAGAAAGATATTAAACAGGAGCTCCAAAACTGGCTGGGCTACAGCTAATAAAAAAATAACAGATTTAAAAAATTGTGAAACATTTTTTTTTTAATTTTTAAAAATTACTAAGCTTAATAATTGTACTAACACAAAAATATCCACCACAATTTGATGTGGTACATAAAGAATTGGCCCATCATGAGATTGAAAGGTCCATTCAATTTTAATCCAGCAGGAGAACCAGAAAGCCATTGCAGGAGATACTGAAGAGAATGCACAACTTCCTGAAAGATCAAAATACTGTTTACTTTAGCATCCAGCCACACTTAGCATTAAACGTATAAGAGAAAAATCTTATAGCTAAAACTCACCTTGGCAATTTTTAGCAAGTAATCAGACAAAGGGGAGTAAATTTCCATGTAGTCCATTAAATATAGAAGAAAGACTCCAGCACATATATCCACTGCAGTGGCAAGAAAGTAGTTGCCCACTTTTAGAGATACCTGATAAACACAAATCAATGGTTTCAATAAAAATGAATTAAAACCTCTACAAAATTAATACATATGTAAAATAATGACGTACCTTTTTTTGAATTTTAAGGGACTTCACAGCCCATGCCAATGAGTTTAGAAAATCATAAAGACATACTCCTAAAGCAGAATACTGGAACACTGGCTTAGCCGTTGACACAATGTAAAGCAAAATATTAACTATGAAAAGAATAGGAATATAGAGTAATTGAAGAAAGTCCCAAAATTGTTTTCTTTTGTCTTCAACTTGCTTCTTCAACAAACGAGCCAGCACTTGGAATTGATCGCTACTAGTTGCATGGTCACCATTAGACAAAAATATCAGCTCCGAGTGCATGAAAACTTGATCATCGTACACTATTATAACAATAGAAGAAGAAATGTCTTGAATTTTACTATTTGCTGATGGCAATAACTGGAAGGTATCATTTGAAAGCTGAATCGTGACTCCACTCTCACTGTTAGTTGCGGTAAATAAATCCAAGGAAATTGAATCGACATTGCTTTGACATTCACCAATTAAGACATAATCATCATATTTCCTCTGATGATTTGTAGGAAAAGGCTTGGACTCTATACCTAAAACAAAATGACTTGTTGACACATCTCTGTCACAGTTTGAATTTTGAACAACACCGTACAATTGGCAATGCTTCTTCTCGTATATCGAACAAGGTAAAAATAACAGATCTTTTCCCATAATTCAGAAGATACTTCTGACATCAAGTGACATTTTCTATTTGTTCTTTCAAGGCAAAAATATAGTCACGCCCAATCCGGTTCAAACAAACATAACATAGGTTATGTTTACAAAGTCGAGTCCCGAACAGACGACAGTCGAAAAAGACAATGTTTTAAGATGGCGGACAAGTGTTTTCTCGTTTACTGACGCAAATTTTGACTTCTCCTTTGGACACATCTGCGTTTTTCGGCTGTGTGTTATCGCTCAATAGACTGCCGACGATCTGCTCTTATCATGTGATAGTGATTGATGAGGAGGGCGCGCGTGCTCCAAGCATCCTCAGTGGGTTTGGACGTTCTCTCCTGCTCTGACGTCCCAACGTCATGAGTGACTCCGTCGACGGTGACGATGTTGATGGAGCCTTGGATCCACGAATTCAGGTAAATTGACCATTTTACGTCCTCGCTCTAGAGACAGGTGAGGTGCATGTTGTATGGGGGACATTATTCATCTCCCTCAGATCTTACGTACAAGGTCTACGTTTGCCTTGGCCTGAGAAGGTCAATGCTCTCAATGCGCTAAATGTCATAATTTATTCACAGAATTGCGCTTATCATTGCCTTAAGAATTCCTTAATCATATTTTTGTGTGATGTCATTATGTAATTTATTTATCTATGATGCACTTGGACCGTTTAAATGTCAAACTGTAACTTGTCATTGAACTATTGCTATAACTTGCTTAACATTTGCTCTCCTTTAATTTTAGATTGAACTTGAAAATCTCAACACTGCCACAGATGAAATCAACCGATTGGAAATTGCTTTGGATGTAAGAAACTTGTGTCTACTTCCCTATCATTATTTTCTTTAAAGCCATGCTAACAAATCTTTCACTTTTAGGAAGCCAACACAACATTTCGAATATTGCTGAACGACTGCACAAGAAGATTAAAGAATAAATCAAAAAGTTTAGGGAGTTGTGTTGAGAAAGCTCGTCCTTACTATGAAGCTCTAGAGGTAGCTAGACAAGCCCAGTTGGAATGTCAGCAAGCCGCTGTTCATTACCAGCGAGCTAATGGTAAACTTTTACTGTACACCCATACATTTCATTAATTTATAGATAAAAGTATGCTCTATAGCTTGTTCTACAGAACTAATGCCCTTTTTTTTTCTTTCTTCAGAAATCCATGCAGCTGCTAAGGAGACTGTAGCTCTTGCTGAAGCACGGTTTCTGAGCAAACAACATGAATGGCAATTTGACAATGCATGGCAAGAAATGTTGAATCATGCAACACTCAAGGTAGTAACCATTTTTTGAATAGTTTTGATTTGTTTAATTTCATTTATATGTATTTATGAGTCGCTCTAATGTTTCAATTCTGTCATAGGTGAGAGATGCTGAAACTCAAAAGGCTGAAAGTGGGAGAGAACATCACAAAAGAGCAATGCATTTTAATGCGTCTGAGCAAAAGGTAAATTTTTACAAAAAATAAATCAATTCTTTATAATTGTGTTTTCTCAATGTACTTAGACATGTGTGGCCAACAGGTTCAACAACTAGAACAGCGCCTCCATCGTCACATAATCAAATCACGGCCTTATTTTGATGAGAAGTCCTTCTGTAATGAACAGCTAGCTTCTCAGAAAGAACGGGTAGAAGTCCTTCAAAGCCAAGTCTCTGCTGTGAAAGGGGCCTATGCTGCTTCCCTTAAAGAACTTGAGCGTATTTCTGAAGAGATCCACTGCAAAAGAAATAAAAATAAACAAATTGAAGCAGAACAAGAACCACCTTGCGGTCCAAGAGAACCAGGAGTTGGAGCAGAGCTTGAACCTGTATTTTGTGAAACTCCTGCTCCAAATGATGAGATTTTAGACAATACATCACAAGTTCCTGAAAAAGCCTCAGAAATACAAGCCAATGAAAACCCCATCACTGAAGAAAAGAATGTCTTGGCTTCTGAAGGAAGCAGTCAATCTTCATCACCAGCTAAACCAACCCTATCATCACAACCAAGATCTAACCTTACTGCTTTACCTTTGTTGGATAACTTAACGCAACTGAAGAATTCAAATGAGTCGCCTTTGAATAATCCAAGTCCATCTGTTCTTAATCTACCTGCTTCTTCTGAAATTTTTCATCGAAGCAATACGTTTGAAGATGACTTTGGCATGGAATGTAAGATAGCAAGTGAAAGAGAAGAGGCATACAACCATGCATTACTGAACCATTTGATGGAGAACTATGAATCTGAATTAGACCGCTGTGATATGACAAGTTTGAGTGGCATGTCAGCAGCAACAGGGTCCTCTGCTGTCAGTGAGAAAGATGAAACTGAGTGTTACCTTGATGAGGTTAGTTATCTAATTTAATTTCTTGTCTATTGTTATTTTTGTGAGATCAAAATATATTTATACTGACTTTTTATTCCATTGCAGGAACTGGATGACCTGCCTGAGCAATTTCGTGCTATCTCGATGGATACCTCCCTAAGTATGTCAAGAAAAAGAGATACTACTGGGCGACCATTTAGTTTGCCTGGATCGTCTGCAGGCAGCAGAAACCAATCAGCCAACCAGAGTCCAGTGAAAAACGTACTTTGTACAAACAGCTCTGTACCGAACTCAAAAAGCTGCAACAATATTATGGGCAAAGCAGCAGACTCATCGGTGTTGAACTAAATCTGATTGTAAGTTATTCTTACTGCAATAAGTATGTCCCACCGCTACTGAACCATTGTCATTCAGAGTGAGCATGACTGTGTAGGTATTGCCATTTTATGCTGCCATGACTAAGACCTGTGATAAAATATGTGTAAACTTTTAAAATTTATGCAAGCAGTGAGAATAGTGTGGATCATTTGAATGATTTGCAATATTTTTAGTAACATCATACTATTACTCTCCATGATTTTAATTGCATTCTGCTCAAAATTTATATTCTTCTGTTACACTTTTGGAAGGAAAGGAATCAAAAATTGAAAAGAATTCTTGTTATTGCTATAATTTGTTTAAAACAATCTTACCCTTTTTTATGTACAGCATGTAGAATTTGGTACATAGGAGTTGTCCTACTTTTTTTCTGCCATGAATCACAAGTTATCTACTGCATAGGTGTATCTTAAGTACAAAGAGTTTTGATTTAAGAATCATGACATGTATGTAGGACTTTCATGAACTAGTTAGCAACAGTTATTGGATTAGAGTATGAATGCACGTACTTGAAGTTTCACCTTGATAGCTGCTATCTCTTCTGATCTAGTTAGTCATTTTATCTTACCATTTTCAAAATGATAATGCTTTATGTGAAGACAACGGACTTTAACGTATTATGGAGCCGAGTAAAGAACCTCCTCTTTAAGTCGTCAGACACTGAATTTGGCAACTAAATGATTTTTGTTTATTTTAACATTGCTGTTTTTTTTTTATTGTTTTTGTGTAGGTGAACTTGGTTTTGTTCCTTTTTTATCTAATTTATTGCAACCGTATCAATGTCTTGTACAATTACGCTAAACATGTTTGTGCAGTTCACAATAATACTTACTTGCCTTGAGACTAGTGTTTGGTCCTTTCCTTTGATTGTAAAATGAGTTTTGTTGTCATTGTATTGTGGCAGCCATGTTATCTTTTAATCCCATTTTTGGGCGCAATTTTTGATCTGCCTTTGGTAGTGATATAATGGTCCATCATGTATATGGTGGTAAGGTAGTAGTGCTATTGTGATTATTGTTAATTGTATTTTAATGGATAGACCCTTCATGTAGGACTTTGACTTCCTTGCCTTTGAGTCCTCTACCTTCATGCAAACTGTGCTTGAGATCATTTAATATGCAACTCATTTTCAAAAATTTCTATTTGCCTTTATTATGCTGAACTGAGACATTTACTTTGTGATATCAACTCAAGTGGTTGTGAGTTCTAATATACAAAACCAATTTTTCTTGGTGTAAGGTACTATTTGCTGTAGCACAGTAAAGTTGTACTGTTCAGTGTTCAGTACATTAGTAAAAGCTCAATGTACAATTTGCATGTTTGATATTTCTGTTTATTGTGTTTTATGACTGAACTTATGCTACCATCAAACAGTAAATTTTGCTATTCCTGTAAAAATATAAAATACTGTAGTTTTCATCTATGTGTTGTGACAATGGTTGGTATTTTAAGATTGATCCTAGAAGAGAGTCTAGGGTCATTCACTCTCACATAGTTTTAAGGGACTAAAAGATGAACAAATTCAAAATGTATTGAGATTAGTGGTACTGGGGATTGGCATTTTGCTTGTTGTGCCAGTTGTGCCATCTAGTATGTGATACAGATAGTGAGCGGCTACATTTCGGACAGAAATTGTTATTATTTTTGCTTTTAAAAACCTCTAAAGACATTTTTGTAATTCCATTATCTTGTTTTAAATGCTATTTACCTGTGGAATGCTGAATCCCATATTGTGATGTTGTATTTATTTTTGTGCTGGGAGCAAGTAGGTTTGATTAACTTAATATTGTATGCATTACTATCTTACTATTTGCAAGCATCGTTATTTGTTATAGCTGGTTATAGCTTTAATATTTTTTCTGTATTACAAAATGTATGGAAAGTATCCTCTGAAAATTAAGATTTGTTGAATGTTAATATGAAATATTTTGGAATTTGTTGATGGGTATGGGTTGGAGTCTGGAAAATCGTTTGCTTCTACTTTAATAAATACAATATTTATTAATAAATGCTTAATGAACGACTGCAATGCTCGGTCTCTACTTGTTCTTCCTCATCATGCGTTCTCTGACCTATGGGGCTGCAGGTAAAACGCGTAACCACTGTGCCCGTCAGGTGAGCGCGAGGTAACCGCAGGTAACCACTGTGCGTTGCCATGGCAACATTGTTTTCCTGCTGGCGGAGTAGGCGACCGCCCTCCTGGAGGACTCGGCAGGTGAGCCCCACGGGGGCGCGCGAGGGGG